TAAATGTTTCAGACTCTAACATCTAAATGAGATATTTTAACTCTGGCTCAGAGCTCAGACACGTGGCGTACAGTCAGCCTCCTGCTGGAGTTTGGGCAGTGGTTGTTCTGTCACAGCTTCCACCGAGCTGACGCCCAGCAGCAGGTCCAGTGGGCCGTAGACCTCCTGCTGCACTCAGGTAGGACCTGTCACCTCGTCCTGTCACAGCGACATCTTTCTTTCCTTTAATCGTCTGTTTTTATCGTTATTTTCAGAGAACATGTTGGACACAGAGAGCAGTGAGTCTCCTCTGGGAGTTAACTCGTTCAGATCGAACCTGTCTGCTCTGAAGGACATCCGTCGTCTGGATCAGCTGATCCAAGCTCACACGCTGCTGGCTGTGATGTCAGACAGGAAGTCACCTGAGCATCAGCTGCACCTGCTCACAGCCCACAGCCTGGTGCTGCAGACGTGGCAGGTAGTGCAGCTGTGACGGTGTGGAGCAGGCAGCAGAGGAGCTGTTTGTAACGTTGTTTTCTCTGCAGGTTTCCATGGCTGTGGCTGCTGACAGCTCTGACATGATGAAGACTCCTCCTCTTCCTCTCCCTGAAGGACCCCAGAAAGGCAAAAACAAGAAAGTGAAAAATGTAAATTATAATCTGACTGTTTGAGGAATAATCCAGGTGTAGTTGGTGACACGTCTTTCTGCCTCTGCTGAATCCGGAGCAGTCCACCCCTGCAGAGGAGAACCAGAGACCGCTCCGTCTGCATCCCTCTCCTCCCTCCACACTGACCGACTGGGCCCGGTTCACCTGTCCCRACCCGGCCAGACACGTCTTCAGAACCAGCACCAACCCCAGCTGCATTAACAAACACAGCATCAGGAAACAGGTGTGTCGTACCTGAGTGTATCAGACCCACCGGTTACAGAAATACACTTTATTTCTCTCTCACACACTGATGAAAACAACACAAAATGCTGTAAATCAGATGCAGTTCTTATTGTGTCCAGTAGATGGAGCTGCTGACTCATCAAATCATCAAAACATCAAATCATCACGTTGGTCTTCTGACACGAAAGGTTTCAAGAAGGGACACAATTTTACACAAAACATTTATTTTAAAAGAAAATCACAAAATAAGTATYGTCTGCCACATTCATAATTTAAACACACAACAGCAACAAACACTGAGATGAAGTTTAAACACTTTCAAGTGTAAAAAAAGAAAAATTTTGTGTAGGTCTTCTGGACGGTTCTTCTCTAATGAAACATTTCGTCTCTCCTCCAAGTTTGTGTTTTTTTATTCTTTCTGGATTTCAAAGCTTTTTTTCCGTCTCGTTTGTTTATTTATAGACTCAAAGTCTGTTTTTTCTGAGCCTTCTGGAGAAAGAGCTGCTCTCCATCTCACTGGACCACCTGACTCCRCCCATCCTGCACCTGGCTGAGGTCATCGCTCGAGACCTTTTGTTGAGGAGGAGCCTCTCTGATCTGTACAGGCTCAGGTAAAACACCTGTCCAGTCAGACATGTTTATAGTCTGTGTGTGTCTCACAGTGTGTGACACGGTTCACTTCAAATATTTATAGTTTTCTGACAGCTGGTTGTGTTTCTATAGTTCTGTTAATGAATCCTCTCATAAGATGTACAAATAAACTGTCAGAAAGGCTCCAAACTCCTGATGGTTTTTATTAAAACAGAAACTTTCTGACTCCAGAACCTCAGTGTCAGCATCGTTTTCTGTTCACAAATCCCATGTTGAAATATAGCTGAGTGTATCTCAGCATTTACAAACTTTACTTAAATAATAAATATGTAATAAAGCAACACTTGTGAGGTTTCATCAGAAGTGTCAGTATTAAAACAGCTGCTGTGGTTTTAGACATATTAAGGATGGACGATTTTTTACATTTTTTTCCCTCCTGTCTGAATGTTTACATAAAACAGTAAATAACTCTATTAAAACCATAATGAATCAGGTTAAAAACTCTTGGAAACCATAAAACCACTTGTGGACATCACCTGTACAAAGATTCATGCTGCTAACATTAACTGCAGCAAAGTTACAGAGGTTTTAGTAAAGAAATTATTTAGTCATTCTGCACAGGACAGACATGATGGTTCTGTTAATAAATGTTAATAAATGTTA